GGGGAGGAAAAGCTGGAGGAGGAGGAGGATAATGGATAGGGAGGACGAGGACGGAGGAGGGAGGAGGGAGGAGGTAGGGAGGGAGGGAGGGAGGAGGAGGGAGGGTGGAGACCCCCCCCCCCTGTGGCGCGGCCCGAGGGACAGTCGTTCGGTGAGCTGGCGCTGCTGGTGCTAGAGCCCTGCGCCGCCACCGTTCGCGCGACCACCGCCTCGAAGCTGTGGGCGCGCCGCCGCCGCCGCCGCCGTGGTCGCCGCATTCCGCCGCCGGCCGTCGACGCGACTACTACGATGAGGCAGGACGAGTTTGTTTCAAAGCCCCCCCCCGTCTTTGCGGTCGTTTTTTGTTTTTGTTTGTTTGCTTTGTTTGTTTTGTTGGTGTGTGCGTGTGTGTGTGTGTGTGTGTGCGTTTTGTGGCTTCGTGTTTTTAGTTGTTCGTGCGGTTTTGCTAGCTTTTTCATATGCTGCGAGGGGGACGGGGAGGAGGGCGAGGAAAACGAGGAGATTGGGTGGACGAGGAGTGCGTGGACAAGGATGAGAGCGAGGAGGTTTGGAAGAGTAAGACGAGGATCGGATCAGATCGACTGTCCCTTGCTGCTGGGCGATAGCCTAGCCGTTGTGAGTACGACGAGGAGGGCGAGGTGATTTCGAGGAGGAGGATGAGGAGGAGGAGGACGATGGCGAGGTGAGACCTATGCGACTGCATAACTACATGGATCGCTAAAGGGAGCGCAGCCGTTCACCGTACGGTGGTAATCAATTGACAGGGATGAGGGTTACTCTGTCTGGGACCTGGGTGGACAATCTAGCATCGAGATGCCTGCTACGAACAGCTGTGGAGGAGGAGTGGGGTCATTCAAAGGCTGGGAGAGTCCTGCAAGTCATATCTGGGCCCTGTCAAGTGCTCCAGGACTCCTCCCGGGAATGGTGGGCAGGTTGTCGAGCAAAGGGCAGCAGTCCTAGCACAGCAGGGGCTGTGAGTGTTGCCTCTCGACCCAGGAGGCAGGGCCCGAGCTCAACGGTGTCTTGGCGATGCCGTGGACCGTTTCCGTTCCGATTCTGCCTTGCAGCAAAGGCAGAAGGAAGACAACGAAAACTGAACGAAAACGGACAATGCCGCGTGGCCCAGAGAGAGAGAGAGAGAGAGAGAGAGAGAGAGAAAGAGCAGGGCTGGACCTAGACGCTGTTTTGCTGGACATGGGCTGTGTTTAGTTTTCGTTTTGGCAGGGAGGTACAGGAAAACAGGTAGAGCAAAACGAACAACAAAACGAAACCAAAACGAAACACAACGTTGAGGTCCAGCCCTGGAGAGAGCCATCCTTGCAGCGGGCGCCGCCCACGGCGCGCGCTCCGCGCGCTGCGGCGGGGGGCCCAGCCGCCGAGGCGAGAGTTTCCGCGCGGAGCTCCTAACGTCTGCGCGAGCTCGTGCGACTTCTCTCTCCTTGAGCGCGCGCGCGCGCCTATGTTTCGCCGTCGGGGCTTCACTTACATAGATTTTCTGTTTGGAGCTTCCTGTCCGATGTGTGTGTGTGTGTGTGTGTGCTTTTGTTTTTCGGCGCCGCGGCTGGCTCTCCCCTCTGGCGTCCGCCCCACCGCTGCCGGGGCTTGCCTGACCAGGCCTGGCTTCCTCTACCGCCTGCGCGGGGGTCTCCTCCTCTCCTCGCGTGCATCGCGGCCCAATTTGCATCTAGCGCGCCCCACTGATGCCCGATCGCCGGAGCAGTCACCACCGATTTCCCGGTGGGGGGCTCTCCGTTCCACTTCGATCTCACCCCCCAACTTCCGATTTTTTGTTCGTCTTGTGATCCCGGCTCGGAGACAAAGAAGAATCCAAGAGGTAAAGCACCAACATTTTGGAAGGAATGCGCGTGGGGCCCCATCGGCCCCGATTCCTATTGGAAAGCCAATGATAAGCCATCAAAGCCCAAACACAATCGATGTTTGGCCTCTTCGTCGGGCCCTGCTGGACGTTCCATTCGAGCCCTCCTGGGCCCTCTTCAAAGCATCTTGAGCAATCCTGGGGCACTTTTGGGCCGTCCTGGAGCCATCTCTGGCCGTCTTGAAGGCATATTGGCCATCTTGGCTGGCCTGGTGGCCTGCCTGGACCGGTCTGGAAGGGCGCCCGGGAGAGCGCCACGGAGGCGTCGAAGCACCCAGGGAGCCTCGGGAAGAGGGGTCGGTGCATGCCGCCAGACGCGAGTGGCGGGGAGAGGGCCTTTCGCAAGCTGCAGCCCGTCCAGACAGCACTCGGCATTCCCCCAGGCTTGAATAATCATTGTGATTGGTAGTAAATGATAGTGGAGTTGGCACTCGTGGATCATTTCCTTGCAGAATTTTACTGTTTTTTGGTGGCTGTGGTTTTTCCCTACCTAGGCTCTGCCTAGAAGGGTTCTTACTCGGAGGCTTAAAGGGGCCGGGCAGTGGGGCACGCCCCGGGCGGTTCCCCCGGCATCCGCCCCGCGGTTCCCCCAGTGACGTTCCCTTAGCTTCGCGTTGCTTATCTCATCTTAGCTTAGCTTATTTCATCTTAGCTTAGCTTCATCTTAGCTTAACTTAGCTTCATATAGATGTTGCTTTCCTAGATCCTCCAACTCCTAGGTAGGGTCGCACTGGGATAATTGGTGGTTTCTAGTTAATCCTAACGTTAGCTATCGTCTGCTATCGTCTGCGGCGGTTCCTGGCGGCCCGTAGCTGGCCCTGTTGTCGGCCCTCGTCTGCCATCGCCTGCAGCAGACGACCGCGGACGATGGGGACTGGCTCGGGGTGTGCCAAGGGCCCGCCGCCGTCTGCTGTCGTCTGCCATCGTCTGCTGCTGACGATCGCAGACGGCGGGACCTGCCAGGGGCTGCTCGTGTGCAATCGTCTGCTATCGTCTGCTGTCGTCTCCTTTCGGCTGCTGTCGTCCGCTATCGTCTGCTATCGTCTGCAGCCAAATAGCGACAGCGTTTCCGACCGCACTGTTTCTCAGCTTGCCGTAATTCGGCTTCCGCGTGTCAGTTTTGTGATTGTGTATGATATTGTGTTTTCCTAGTTTCACGTTTCTTTAGCTTTTCTCTTTTTTCTTCCCCGAAGGAGCCTCTTGTCTTAACTCTTCGTGTTTTTTTTTGCGCTTCGTGCTTTTTGCACTTTTCGCGCGCCCTTCGAACACTTCGCGCTCTTCGGCCTCTCGTGCGCCTCGCTGTTCTCAATGTTCGCACTTTACTCGCTTTTCGCAATTCACGCTCTTCGAACGCTTCGCGCAACTTTTCGCATTTTTCGCGCTCTTCTACTTTTCGCACTTTTCGCGCTTTTCGCGCTTTTCTATTTTTCTCTTTTTCGCACTTGTCTCACTTTTCGCACTTTTCGCGCTTTTCCACTTTTGCACTTTTTGCACTTTTCGCGCTTTTCGCACTTCGCTACTTTTCGCACTTGTCGCACTTTTCTACTTTTCTGGACGCTGCCTGGATATCAAGACCCGGATCTAAGCAGCACAGGATGGAAGAGGGGTGCCACTTTTGCCACACCCAGGCGCCGCAGCATACTCGTGAAACTCTGCTGGTCCCATCTGTCTTGCATCTCTTGGTGCTCGCCGACGCGCGTTGCTGCAGTACCAGGGCCTGAGCTTTCTTTTATTGGGCGTTGCGCTCCGAGCAGTTTTCTCTCGGATCGTTGCCGCCAGGAAGCGACGGCTTCAGCAAGCCAACGTTTGTCCAACGTAAGAGAGGATGAGGTCGCCTCCCTCCTTCAGGGGTAACGTAGGGGGGGATAGGCTCAGCGGGGGTGCATCGCCCCCTTATCGCGCACTCATCCCTGATAGGGGCCCCATAGCCCTTCCCGTCCAGGAACGTGCGGATTCGCTATCGGGGTCTTATCGCAGATCTATCGGTGGTGTGTCGCCGACTACAGCTCGATGTTTCCCCCTCCGTGCTTGTTCCCCCCTCAACGTTGCCCCTCCCCCCTCCCCCGCCCCCGCGTTGAGGCGATCCCCCGCCAGACGCTGCGGGAGGTCCGCAAGGCTCCCCTCAGGCGCCGCGGCCCCGCTCCGCGGGCGTTTGTCTTCTCCCCGCGGGCCGCGGCCGCGGCCGCTGGGCGACGCCTGCGAAGCAAGACTCGGGAGGAAGGACAATATCTTCGAGGGCAAGACTTACGAGGATTGTGGTGGTCATGGTGGAGATGATGATGGTGAGGATGATGATAATTATGCGGGTGATGTTGGTGATGATGCTGATGCTGATGGTGATGATGATGCTGATTGTGATGGTGATGATGATGATGCTCCTGCTGATGCCGATGAAGATTGTGATGGTGATGATGATGATGAGGACGAGGACGACGGTGATGGTGATGCTACAGCTGATGATGATGCTGATGATGCCGATGCTGATGTCGATGATGATGCTGATGATGCCGATGCTGATGCCGATGATGATGCCGATGCTGATGCTGATGCTGATGCTGATGATGATGGTGGTGATGATGACGATTATGATCATCATGATGATGATGCTGATGCTGATGAGGCTGATAATGATGATGATGATGATGATGATGATGATGATGATGATGATGATGATGATGATGATGATGATGATGATGATGATGATGATGATGATGATGATGATGATGATGATGATGATGATGATGATGATGGATGATGATGCTGCTGATGATGAGGTGGAGGAGGAGGAGGAGGAGGACGAGGCGGAGGAGGCGCAGGCCATCCTGAGGACGCCTCCAGAGGCCTGCGGGGTCCGCGGAGAACTGTGGAGGCCTCCTGAAACTTCTGGAAGAGGATGAGGTGGGGAGAGGTGGGCGCAAGAAGCCTTCAGGGTGTCGCTGGGACCATGACAATGTGCATGATGGTATTTCCAGTGGTTCCCCTGAGCTGTGATATATGTCGCGTGCGTAGCCTTTGGCCCAGAGCGCTCAGCGAGCGAGGCTACTTGCACGTTTCGCAAAGTCCTGCAGGGCCAATTCATTGCGAAGTTGAGAAAGCATTATGTTCATTGTCCTTGGTACACTGCATATTTTCTAAAGAATGGGCGACTTTGCACCTGGTGGTGGTCCCAGTGAGGGGGGCCAGGAAGTGGCAGCTCTGCAGCAGCTGCTTCGCAGCACCAGGCTGACAGAGGCAGACGGGCATTACATCCTAGCATTCTTCCCCCTCGCCTTGCAAGTCTCTGGGATGCTGCACCACATCCTGGAGCCCGAGGAAGGAGCCGCAGTGCGCGGGGCAGTGAAGATGAAGAAGAGCGTCCCTCGCCACCAGGAATGCGAGCGTATAGCCTAAGAGGACATAATGACATAAGGGCCATGGTGGAAGGGAAGCTGGGGAGCTACACCACAGTAGAAGCACGGAAATGTATCATCAAAAACCGCTGCGGAGCTAAGCGCGAAGATTGCGTCACATCAAAAGACCGGCACAACGCTGCGAGAAGCCAAATGAATCGTGCACAAGAAGCAGCTGTCGGAGCCAAAAAATTGGATTTGTTGATATTGAAGCGCCAGCAAGAGATGTTCCGGAACATCACCAAGAAAAACACGTTTCTGGACAAGATCTTGGTTGCCCATCGTTCTCAACCATTTGCTTGGGGTGCATTGGGGCTCGACCTTGACGACGACGACAGGGCAATGTTTCAAGCAAACACAGACGACTCACGGCGAGGGCGACCGTGATCTCTAAGAATATTGCAGGCAATGCTGCGGAGGATAATATGGCAAAGCAAAAAGGGTCCAGCCTGAGGGATGAGGCCCGAGAGAATATGGTCAAAGAGCTGTCGGCTTCTCCCCCCCAGCAGTACGTGAACTTCACAATGGAAAATCTTGTCAAGAAACATATGTCCAGCCAGCACCAGCAGCGGGTGGAGAACACGTCGGAGTTCCAGAACGTGTGCGCTTTGGAGCAGAAGGCTAGATTGGATGAACGGAAAAGGGCAAGACAAAGGCAGGGACAGCAAAGGAAAAGGCACATATTTCCCGAACAGGTCTGGCATTCACAAGGGGCAGGACAAAGGCAAAGCGAAAGAGACATCGAAATCCAGCGCTGGAAAACCGAACGAAGCCAAGAATGGGAAAACCAAAGGCAAGGAGAAGGACAAAGGTTTCAAAGGCGGGAATATATGATCAAAAGCTGGGAAAGGAGAAGGAAGCAATGCAGGGCGAAAGTGGCAGTGAAAGAGCGAGCCGCGCAGATGTTTTGGAGAGTCGTTGATGTGCTACCAATGGCAGGCTTCAAACGTCTTCTTTCGATTGGAAGCGCTACGCCACAGGTGTATGTGTACGACATCGATCGCAAAGCCTGCTTCATCCCAGAAACAGGAGAAATATCCTGGCTGGTTGATTTCTTGTTATGTTATCACAAAGCACACATCTTCAAGGGGGACTGAGTCGCCTGACCTTACGCACATGTCCACGTGCCTGCGACAATGGGCAAACAAGCAACATTGGATATTCAACTTTGGTGTCTACCCATCTTCGGCCCAGGGCGAAGATGTGGACGATGACCTCTACAGACGGTTCCGCGCTACTCCGCGCCTGCATGCAGTTTCCCAATATCCGATTCACAGAGCATTTTTGTGTTTCCGAAGTTGTTGACGGCATTTGGCAATAGTGCAGGTATGCCAGAGGCAAATACTCAAATAAACGAGCTTCCATTGCTAACTTCTGCGAGGTGCACCGTCTAGCATTCTCGATTCTCCGTCGAGGGGACTTGGGCGTTCTGCCTACAGGCAAGGATGGGGGATTTTGCTTAATCAACACATGGGCCATTGTTTTAGAGAAAGTGCGATTGATTCAGAGCGATAAGTACGGGCAGTTGGAACACAACATGGTGGACGAATACTTCGGCGACTATCAGTTTGCAGTCCATGAGGCAACAGGCGCCTTACAGGACAATCGTTTCATTGACGCCACGCTCTCGTGGACGAGATGTGGCCCAAATGCCATGGCCCTCAATATGAAAGCCACCACCAAGACACAAAGACGCAGGCGAAGTAAAACTCATATCTCTGCATGCATCTTGCTGCAAGCCAATGAAAGGTGGGATGAAACAGGTGTCTGATACGTTGAAGCGGTTCGTCAAAACGCAGCCCCATACTCTAATGGACGGCAGAGACCTTCTACAACGCATAAGATTGACGAAGTGCGGTGCCGATGGCCCCTTGGTCAATGTTGGCTTGCAAGACTTCTTCGTGAGTGGTCAGCATAACGACCTTGTCGAGTGCGCCAGCAGTGGTGTGCCAGTGGGCAATAAAATAAGTGTCTTCAAGATCATGCTCTGGGCAATTCCGCGCAACCATATTGTGCAAGTAGAGGGCGTGCTGAACTTTTCCTGGGCGGTCAGAATAGGAACAGGCATGGGTGTAGCGGAGGAGTGAGTGATACTGCATTCCACTTCGTGGTAGGGGAGGGGGTGATGAACAATGAGTGGCTTAGGAGGATATTTAGTTTTCGTTTCTTGGGGCGCTTCGAAGATGACGTTCTCTTGTCATCAGCGGTGCAAATCAAACAATAGTGAACCGATCGATGGAGGTACTGAGGATGAAAACAATTTTTTCAAGCTGAAAGCAGAGTCTACCTCGAATATCTCGGCCGTCATGCTGGACGTGGTGTTGTATAGAGGTGTGAGGTGGCACCGCGCTGGATTTCTCGATTTCCGCGTGCATGTGATACCCGCTTCCCTCTACGCCCCTCTCCTTTGTTTTAGCGCTCACCCGCGCATGTTCACGCAGCCTGGCCGGGAGGCATGGTCAGAAGGTTTGCAGAATTGCGCAGCAGTTCTATACTTGCACGGAAGGTGGTGCAGTCTTGATCGCAGCAGTGCGTTTCAACCACCAGTCGTCTGCCGGTCCTCGGCAATCCCAGATAGGTGCGGGCCCCGAGCTACCAAGCGCAGTCTTTCTGAGTCCTCCCTTACAATGGCGAATGGGAGTTCGCCAGGTTTCAAGCGGTGGTGAATATTTGCGGGGACGTGGGGGTTAGAGCGCGGTTTGTGTTTGAAGTCAGCTCGAGGCATCTCCTGCACCGTCTTGTGGACGCGAACATATTCGAGGCCAACGCGGCTTTGGATGTTGTTCGGTCGGTGACTTAACGGTTGGTCGGTTGGGGTAGGTGGCGGTTTCGTAGCTTTTGGGCGCAGGAACCTTTCAGGGTGTCACCGGGACCATGACAATGTGCATGATGGTAATTCCAGTGGTTCTCTTGAGCTGTGATACATGTCGCATACGTAGCCTTTGTCCCAGAGCATTCAGCGAGCGAGGCCACCTTCAGATTTCGCAAACGTCCTGCAGGGCCAATTCATTGCGAAATTGAGGAAACATTCTGTTCATCACATTGGCGAAGCACGGTTTGGGAGTGAGGACAAGATCTTCGAGGGCAGAACTTTATAAGATGGTGGTGGCGGTGGATATGATGATGATGCTGATGATGATGATAATGATGCTGATGAAGGTGGTGAAGATGATGAGGCTCGTAATACTGATGATGATGATGAGGATGATGGTGATGATGATGGTGATGGTACTTGATACTGCTGCTGATGCTGATGGTGATGACGGTGATAGTGATGATGATGATGAGGATGATGACGACGATTATGATGATGATGCTGATGCTGATGATGCTGATGATGCTGATGCTGGTGCTGATGATGCCGATGATGATGCCGATTATGATGCTAATGATGCCCGCGATGATGATGCCGATGATGCTGCTGCTGATGATGATGACGATGCTGATGATGGTGCTGCTGATGATGCTGTTGATGATGATGATGGTGGTGGTGGTGATGATGATGATGATGATGATGGTATTTGTGCTGGTGATGGTGGTGGTGGTGCTGCTGCTGATGATGATGAGGATGATGATGATGATGATGGTGATGATGGTCATGGTGATGATGATGATGATGATGATGATGATGATGATGATGATGGTGGTGGTGATGATGATGATGATGATGCTGATGATGCTGATGATGATGATGCTGCTGCTGCTGCTGATGATGATGATGATGATGATGATGATGA